AAGCCGGCCAACATACCAGACAATCATATGATGGTTGTAAAAAGGAAAGAGAGAAAGAGAGAGAGAGAGAGAACGAGAGCAGGCATCATCGCTTGCAGGCTAAAGATAGAAAGAGGTGTGTCAGCAGAACACAGCATGGGCAAACCTATTCAGAGTTTGCACCCACCCCGGGCAAAGGACCCCCATTTGGGGCAGAAAGAAAGAAAGTTAAGAAAGGCCTTAAAGGACCCTAATTTGGGGGAGAAAGAAAGCAAGTTAAGAAAGGCCTTAATAAATCAACCCTGGAGCTGCCCTAAAATACAGAATTCCTCTCCCCAGAAACTTTGCCGCGCATCGCACCGAAGGAGGAAGAAGGAACTTCAATCGGCATGAAGGATCTTGTTGGCTCAGTTAGGGTGTTTCTAAAATTGCAACACGCCATGTCCCGCCCGGTGCCAAAATATTTCAGGTCTTTGCATTCTGGCAGCGAAGAAGTGAATCAAAGTGGAAAATCTAAGATTCCTTTTCCTGAAATCCATGGAAAAGTCTTTCCTTGCAACTAGGATGCCGCAAATGCCTTTGGGGGGTAAAATTTGAGTCTTTTATTTTTGACTTTGGAGCTTTTTAGGCTGTCGGTGTCGTTATCTAGAGACTTGGGGGATGAGATATAGGGAAAGAGGTGCTTAAGACAGATTGGGCCAAATGTCAATGCAAGAGAACAGCCTGTAGTAATTCTGAAATTACTACATTGTCATGTGCTCTTGCTGGACCTGGAGTTATCCCTCTAGGTCAGTTAATGATTAAACAATGCCGTAATAAAAAAAAGAGAACACCTGTTATCTGGTACTCAGCATGAAGAACTGAACACCAACCCCTACAGAGATGCCTACACCCAGTCAAAAGGGTTGGTTTTGCCCTGAACATCAAACCTTATGAAGATGCCTACACCCAGTCAAAGTGTTGGTGGTGCCCTGAACATCAAACCCTACAGAGATGCCTACACCCAGTCAAAGTGTTGNTCCCTTGGACTGCAAGGCCATCCAACCGGTCAGTCCTAGAGGAGATCAACCCTGACTGCTCTTTAGAAGGCCAGATCCTGAAGAGGAGACTCAAAGACTAACTTCCGTCATCCCAAAGTTTGAAGAACTCTTCATCGTAACAGCAAGGCAAATGCCCCCAACTTTTGACTTCACTCCTACCTATGTAAGACCCCTTTTAAAACTGCTTCTCTCTCTCTTTTTCTTCTTCTTTTTTTAGACTTTGCATTCTCGGATTGCACAAAGAGGAAGGACGACCCTGAATGTTGATAAGATTCTTGGGGTCCCTGATAAAGGGGGAAAGATGCTAAGGAAAGCTCCCGGATTAAATGGCGGGGAGGTGGGAAATGTTTAACCTCGGTTCACAAGGGAGTAAGCGCAACCTTAGAAACCATTAACCGTGCCAGCTCCTGCCTTTGCTACTGTCGTAAGCCGTAAGCTGGCAGCGTGAGATACTCCAGCTTTTCAACCTGCTCCGTGGAACTGATCTAAAAGATTGTGCGGCAATCCATTTCTTTCTTCCTGGTGCAACCTTCGCCTTACAGGCATTTCAAAATCAATATTCAAGCTCTTTCTCTAGAACAAAAGTTCGCCAACTTGAAACCTTCCTTTGGCATTTTCCCTCTGTTCTTATTCTCCTCATCGCCCTTCCTTTGTAAATCTGGAGATCCTTATCAAGCCAAATGAACGCCTGAAAACCAGTTTGCCTCCATTCTTTAAATTCAGGTAGCCTTGTTGTTATACAAAGCTGGACATTTTGGGAGGGAAATGCCAGCTTCTTCGGACGGCATTCTTTTACCTGCATCGATTTCAATGGATGCCTAAAATAGGAAGGGTTTATTATTTGTCCTAGACGCGGCACAAATGAAACCCACCTCCACATGTGCCCCCCTCCCGCCCCAGTATTAAAAGAAGCGATCCAGGTGGTAGCATCGATTCATTATTCTCTTTCTTGTATATTTGTAGGAGAGAAAGAACTGAAGAAGTAAATACATTCTCCTTTTCTACATTAAGCACACACCGTCCCTGCCCCCCCCCCAGTTCTTACCTATCTCTCCATCCTCTCCTCCATCTTTCCTATAAGGTGTGAGAAATTTTAGCACATTCAATGAATAACCATTTGTCTGAAATGGTATAGAATTTCCTGTCTAGGCAAGGGATTGGACTAGAAGACCTCCAAGGTCCCTTTCAACTGTTATTCTATTCTATTCTAATCTAATTCTATTCTTTTCCTTCTCCTATTCTATTCTANTGGTGCCCTGAACATCAAACCCTACAGAGATGCCTACACCCAGTCAAAAGGGCTGGTGGTGCCCCGGTGAAACACAAATTACTGACAACCCACAGAGTCATTTTTCAAGGCTGTGCCACAACTCTGTGTTGGTGGGGACAATGATTAGGAACTGCTGCTATTAAATTCTGCAAGTATGAAAAGAAGTCCAAGTTGCTAAACACCTGCTTTCCATCTCCACTGTCCCAAGTCTGGAATTAGCCCTGGCTGAGACCTTCCACTGAGCTCTTCCTCCGTTCAACTCACAGTGTCAGTGAGCTGAGTGGATCAGGACCTCAGCTGGAGGCTCCTACATTAGTTTTTTAACAAAAGCAACCTCACAAGCTCCATGCTTTTGGCCTTAAAATAACTTGTCATGCCAAAAAAAAAGAGGGCCTTCTAGGAATGTGGTCCATCCAGGCTCATCGGCCAGGGATGCGGTTTCCAGGAAAGAAACTCAAGCTAGAGACTTCCCAGGTCTTTGCTCAACTGATACAGGTGGATGCGGGCTTCTTCTTAGTACCCATCTGCATAAGCCAAGTTTGGAAATTTTGTCCCAGGGCAATTTCTAGACCAGCCTATCCTGGTTGAAAGTTGATGAGTTAAAAAAGCACCTTCCTTCATTATGAAGATGCACCACCTTCCATCAACTATCTCCAAGTTATTTCTTCCCCCTCCTCCTCTTTCCTTTCTCCTCTTCCTCTTCCCTTCTCCTTTTCTCCTTCTTCTCCTCCTCTTCCCTTTCCTTTTCCTCCTCTTCCCCTTCTCCTCCTCCTTCTCTCCCCTCTCTCCTCCTTCTCATTTTCCACCTCTTCCCTTCTCCTTTTCTCCTTTTCTCCTTCTTCTCCTCCTCTTCCCCTTTCCTTTTCCCCCCTCTTCCCCTTCTCCTCCTCCTTCTCTCCCCTCTCTCCTCCTTTTCATTTTCCACCTCTCCTCCTCCTCCTCCTCCTCCTCCTCCTCCTGATCTTCTCTGAGGTGACTTGCCCCACCATTTCTCTGCACCTTGGGCAGGGTCAGGAACTATGGTAAAAGCAAGTCCCTCAGGCCGGAAGACTCCTCTCCAAACTAGGTGAAGGTGACGGGAGCTATAGTTCCCGCATCTCCGAAAGGTGCCTGGCTCGGGTCGCGAGAGAGAACAGGCTCCTCGGCTTCAAGAAAAACCCCACAAGTGTTTTCAAAGGAAGTCAGAGAAATTCCATCTGCATTACTCATTCCGCTGTCTCCATGACGCCAAGGCAGGAAGGAAATCTTCCCCAGCACACCAAATTATGCACTCCAATAAACTCAAACCAACGGGCAGATCGGAAGTCCCGAAAGCTTCGCTTTTGGGAAAAGTAGGTCAGTTGGGAAGAGAGGAAGGAACGAGGACTGAATGTGGGGAGTCCTTAAGTGCAGAAACCAAGAAAAGTAGATTCTTTACGCCCGCTGCTCCGTCTCTTTTGGTATGCAGAAAAGTGGAAAGGCAAAACCAGAGAAGTAACAGCACACACAACCCCTTCAGGGATTACCGCCTTGTTGTGGCGGAAGAGGCTTGCTTGCGTAGCTATGAGCAGGATGAAGAGGGAAAGGGTATAGCAGAGAAAGTAAGGGTGGGGAATCTAGAGGAGAGAGGGTAAGGAGGAGGAGGAGAGGGGAAAGAGAGGGGGAGAAGAAAGGAGGAAGGAGAGGAGGAAAGAAGAAGGTAAAGATGGAAGGAGCAAGGTTGTCGCAAAATAAGATGGAGGAACGGGGGTGGCAAGAGAGTGACCCAAACTGAAGTGTGTGTGTGTGTGTGTGTGTGTGTGTGTGTGTGTGTGTGTGTGTGTGTAAATAATTATAGAGACCAGTGATGAATGGACGAAATAGCAATTATAAAAATGTATACTTGGGAATGAACTTGAATGGGGAAAAATAAAATTAAAAATTAAAAAAAGGAAGCTATAACAGGTCTTAGCACAAGAGCTCTGACAAAACGGGGATCCCCTGGAGAAGAAAAGGGCAACCCACTCCAGGATCTTTTGCCACGAAAACCCCACGGACGGTACCAAAAAGGCAAAAAGATTCACGGCGCCGGAAGATGAGGTCGGGAGGAGTCCAATAGGCTACAGGGGAAGAGCAGAGGACTAGGACTAGTAGCAGAAAGAGTGAAGCACCTGGGACGAAGCGGAGGAAAAAGGAGAATGAGGAAATTGAGAAGGGAGCCCCAAATAAGAAAAGAAATGCAGGGGGGGGGGGAGAAGCAATCAGGGTCTCAACCAGCTAACTTCTCTTTGAGATGCGAATGGGGCAAATCTCTCTTTATCTACATCCGAAAGGCTTTGGCAAAGGAGAGAAGAAAGGGGAAGAAGGGGGGGGGAGAAGAAGGGGAGAAGAAGGGGGAAGAAGGGAAGAAGAATGGGAGAGGAAGGGGAGCAGAAGAAGGGGGAAGAAGGGGAAAGAAGGGGGGAAGAAGGGGGTAGGAGGAGAGAAGAAGGGGGAAGAAGGGGGGAAGCGGGGGAGAAGGGGAGGAGAAGGGGAGAAGAAGGGGAGAAGAAGGAGGAAGAAGGGGAAGAAGGGAAGAAGAAGGAGGAAGAAGGGAAGAAGGAGGAGGAAGAAGGGGAGAAGGAGGAAGAAGGGGAGAAGGAGGAAGAAGGGGAGGAGGAGGAAGAAGGGGGGAAGAAGGGGGGAGAAGACCCCCCCCCTGGTGCTTCTTGGCCACACCAAAGCGAAGAAAACTGCCTCTTTTCCTTCCTTACCTGCTTCCACTGCCGATAGATGGAGAATTCCTGGGAAGGGATCAAGAGGCTCAACCTGAAGATGGATTTCAGTCCAGCGGGGAGGCCCCTCGACTCAAAGTACTCAAACTCCCCCTGGGAAGCGCCGAAGTTTGGCACATAGAGACACAGACAAAGCATCTCCCCCTCGCCCGAGTTGCGTGGTCACGATAGATCCTACCCGCTGGATTTCTCTCTCTCTCTCTCTCTCTCTTTGCTCTGTCAGTCGTGGCCTTGCCGGGAAGAGAGGAAATGCCGAAATGCCGGGCTAGTGGGCATGGCGCCCGGGTATAAGCGGGCTGTCTCGCCTGCCATTGGCTGAGCCGGCCCTGCCCTCCTGCTTCAAAAAGGAAGTTGCGACTAGGGGAAATCTAGAGCTCTGCCAAGGCATGTGATGCGAGGGCGTTGCCCCCACCCAGGTCTTTCGTAAAAAGCTTCACACACACAGACACACACACACACACACACACACACACACACACACACACACACGTCACTCACTTTCCCTGGCAGGGAAAATTTAACTNATTCTAATTCTATTCTATCTCCTATTTTATTTTAATTCTATTCTATTCTTTCTCCTATTCTATTCTAATTCTATTCTTTCTCCTATTCTATTCCCTTTCCTCATTTTTTTTAAACCTGCCCCGCCCACCTCCTTCCTAAATCTTCTACTGTACGTACACTACAAGTTCAGTCATGATCAACCTCCTTTCTGGCACGTTAAAATTTTAATCCAGCAATATTTTGGGGGGTCATACTTCGGTGTATATGTTCACTGTTGGCTTGTACCAAGTGGCCGGATCCGGCTTCCAAACTGGAGACCAGGGCGAACTTTTGAGTTTGCCAATAGACAGAAAGACCCCTTTGGTTTTTACATATTTAACAAGAGAGCTAACTTTAAAAATAATAATAAAATAATAATAAATGTATTCTCTTGCACCAATGAACGGAGGCAGCTTTTCCAAGACTCGCTGCCCTCCTGAGGGCATCAACCATTGATTTGACCGCGGCACAAAACCAAGCGGCGAGGCTGCAATTTCCCCTAATTGAAAATCCTTTTTTCGGTCCCCTGGACGCGGGATTCTCGACTCTCCTTGAGACAAACGCAACTGGAGAGCACCGAGAGATCCACGCGGAATCCGAGGGAATCTCACACACAATGCCATGAGATCCTAAGTTAAGACAAAACTCCTTGTCAAGAGCTATTATTGAAAACCTCCACTTAGGCTATCAAGTCTATTGCTGTTATCGGCCTTCGGTAGATTAAGCCGAGCGATGCAAGGATTGCAGATGGAGCGCGAATATCAGCAGGAGAGTTGCATCACGCCGACTGAAACTTCTTGGCGGGTGTGTTTTTTATTCCTCAGCGATACTGTAACCAAGGCTCCCATTCCCCAAACGGCTTTTCCGAAGCCCCCCCGGAGGCTCCTTGCCCCACCCTCTTGTAACCCACCCCAACAGGTCCCAGTCTCGTGGGGGGGGGGGGAGGGCGGGAGGAGAAGTCTGCCTAAGAAATATTACCTCTGTGAAGTGCTCGGCGGGCCCAACCACCAGGAGAATGGTCGGCCTCCTCTCCGAGGGATCGGCCTCTTTGCCGTTGTGCAACTTTTGGGGCATCTTTGGCGCTTGGGGGTCCCCAGGGTGGGGAAGTGGGGCTTCTTCCTTGGCCGCATCCTCCTTCGCGGGGCCTTCACACCCAGCATTTAGAAAGAAAGAAGAGAAGAGACGCCAGAAGGACGACAGCATCCCTTAATCCCTTGGCGAAGGGAGAGGCTCGCTCAGCCGGACCGGGAAGGATGCGCGAGGAAGAGGAGGAGGAATCGGTCCTGCCACGGGAAGCTTCACACCCGGCTCATGTTGCGGTTGCAGTGCCCGCCTGCCTGCCTGCCTGCCTGCTTTTGAAAATGCTGGCAGTGTTGTCGTGCCTGGACTCACAAGTAGTTCATTCAAGGAGAGACAGAGAGAGGGAGGGAGGGAGGAAGGATGCTGTCTGCCGCGCGAAGCCTGCGCAGAAGTCTCTCTCCTTTGGCCAGAAGGATGGGAGCTCTGTGCTCGTTGCCAGCTGCAGGATTAGCCGGGGAAGCGTCCTCCTCCTCCCCCCAACATAAAGCACGTCAAAAGGAGCACAAGCAGCAGCCCCAATGATCCAGCCTGCATTCTCACTGCAGCAGGGCCTGGCCAATCGACGCACCCAACACTAACAGGTTCATTATTCAAACCAGCCGCCTCGGGCCAATCAGAAGAGCCTGTGACTGGACACTTTTTCTGGTTGCAGACGGCGACCTCGGTCTAGGAGACTGCACGGCCCAGGGAGGGTCACTTGAGAGAGTGGAGGGAGAAGGAGAAGGAGGAGAAGAAGAATAAGAAGAGGAAGAGGAAGAGGAAGAAGAAGAGGAGGAGGAGGAAGAAAAAAGAAGAAGAAGAAGAAGAAG